AGGTGTGCTATGAGCAGGAGGTTTTGCTTCTTATTAACGGGGGGGGTGGGGGGGGGGTATGAGGAAGAGAGAAACTTGTCTTTGAGCTGAACCTTTTTTTCCAGAGGTGTAGTTGCATTAGTGACAGCTTAGTGTAAACAAGACTCTCTACCATGAACTGCCAAAACTTGCTGTCAAAACAGCCAGGGCAGTGAGGCTCACCAGCTCTAAACTATCTTTAAGGCCTAACTGGCATTTCCTGGGGTGCTTAACTGTTCAGTAAAAACAACGGCACCAGACAGAAACGAGCCCAATCTAGTGCGCACCATTCTCTTGGTGAATGATCACACGGTATCTTTTCATCTCTTCCCCTAGTTCTCCGCTATTATTTATATGACTGCTGGTGATTTACCTGCCCTCAGCCCCCTTCACACTCCTTGAAAGTTTCTTTTCATTTCCACTTCAGTGAAAGGCTTGGCAAGGTCCTGAGACCCTGTAGTTGCAGGAGCCTCAGAGTGAATGGGACACCTTGTTCTTTGTCCCCATCATTATAATATAAAGTTACCAGCATGCCTGCCCTGGAGTGACAGCCCAGCACTGAAACTGCTCTCATGCTTTTTGTTCTCTTGAGAATTTCTGCCCACCAGCAACTGAAGTCATTCATGACAAGAATCCCATTCGACTGATGAGGGTTTCATCCCACAGGTTACAGAGGGCCTTTTGTCTTCTCTGAGGAAGGCCTGCCTTTCGGTCAGCCTCCATTTTCCTTTATGGCTACACTGAATGAAATTATGAAAAAGAAACAAAGTAGACATAGCTTCAGTAGAACAGAAATAAACATGAGCCCCACAGAGGCAAAAGAATCAGATCCAAACACTCTCTTTAAAGAACACCTCAGCCCTAGAACTTCTGAACTTGCAAACACATTTAAATTTGTCTATATCCCAAGTCCCACTGCCATTCATGACATTTTTTTTCTGATGATGGAAAATATTGTTCATTTACTTTAGAATATAATAAGCTTTTAAAATGACCTGGGTGATTTATTTTTTAACCTTTTTTGGTTTTTTTGAGACAGGGTCTCATGTAGCCCAGGCTAGCCTTGAATTTTCTCATAGTTTAGGCTGATCTTGAACTCCACTCCTCCTGTCAGTACCTCCCTCTCATAGTTTAGGCTGATCTTGAACTCCACTCCTCCTGTCAGTACCTCCCAAGTGCTGGGATTGCATATGTGCCCCCGGGCCCAGCATCCAGAGAAAATGCTTTGATATATATCTTCCTAAACATTGTTATGAATATATAAATACATGTTTTGTCCTTTCCCTGCTTTTTGTTTTGATTTGGGGGTAATGGGCATGGAACTTGGGGCCTTGTGCATGCTAGGTGGTTTCACTACCTTAAAAAATAGAAACAGTGTGCTCTCTATGGCAGTTCAACCAGTTGTAAAATCTAAAATGTGGACCCCATTGCTCCCTTCAGTCTTACTCCCCAGAGATAAGCCAGGCATGCTGGCAGTTTAGTATGAGTCTCACACATGTTTTCTGTGCTATGTAGCATGTAGGTTTCAAATTAAATTTCAAATTAAAATTGAAATTTTTAACATATACCTCAAGTGCTTTTTCTATGTCCTTTAATACTAGGAGAGATCATTTTAATAATGCATTGCTTCCTAATAGTTTGAGGACTTGGAATGGTATACAGCCATCTCTTGCTATCCACCAGGGATTGATTCCAGAGCACTCATCCAAGTGTTCAGATCTCAAGTCCTTCTTCCTGTATGCTTTAAATCTCTCAATTGCTTATAATATCTATAGATTGTAAAGGCTATGTAAGACTTTTTTAGATCCATACACATTTCTTTTCATGTCTGCTCAAAGGTTACTCTCACCCGATATACACAGATATATCTCAATCTTCCTTTAAAGCATTTACATGCATACACTAGCGCTGATATTTCTGTACCTAGCCTCTCTTCTGTGCTCCCTATTTTAATTGCCACAGAACCCCTGGTGCCTCTTCCCTTTCTAAGATCTCCTCCCTAGGTTGTCAAGTCCTGAGGTCCTAATGTATACACTTAATCAAATATGAGTTTTGTTCCCTAGCACCTCCCCATTTTTCTTGGGATAGTTCAGTGGCTAGTTGGTCATGTAGCAGACAAGCTTTCTTCCTCTCGGTCCATCAGTCATATCAGTGTCAAGTAAGTCTTCGCAAAAGACACCTCAAATCCATTCTCAGAGAATTCTTTCTTCATTGACAGACAGTGTGCTTAGAGCACTCTTCAACCTGCTAATTGGTGCTTTCAGTACTGCCTAAGGCTGTCTTTTAAAAGCTCACTGTCCCACCATTCCAGACTTATGGCCAGCCTTAACTACCAGTCTCCAGACGCCAGCCTTCCTGTGCGCATGCTCTTTTCTCTCCCTCCGGTTCCTCCTTTCTCTGTTTTGCATTCATCATAACCTACGTTCTGTTGTTGCTGTTTGTATGTGTGTCTCATACCGTCCCTTATCTTCACTCCCAGAAAGAAGAGCTGTATCTGATTCATCCTCAGAGTACTCACTGTGATGAACTTGTTTCCACCCCTCCACCTAGCCCCTTTCACTGATCTGGGGCTCATTGTCTGATAGAGTAGCCACTAGCAACAGGTGGGACTTAGTACTTGAACTATAGCTAGTACACCTGAGCACCTGAATTTTATTTTACTTAATTTCATTTTATTTATTTATTTATTTTGTCTTTTTTTTTTGAGACAGGGTCTCCCTGTAGCCCCAGCTGTCCTGGAACTTACTATGTAGACCAGGCTGGCCTTGAACTCACCTGCCTCTGCCTCCCAAGAGCTGGGATTAAAGGCATGTGCCACTATGCCCGGCATATTTCATTTTATTTTTTGAGACAGGATTTCAAGGTGGAGCATGATAGAGAAAGTCACCTGAGGTCGACATCTGGCCTCCACATATACATATAGCCCAGGCTGGGCAGGAGCTTCCCATATAGTCCAGGCTAGCCTCAGACTCACAGACCTTTCTACTCTTTCCTCCTAAGTGCTGGGACTATAGGTATGTTCCATCATACCTGGCCTGAGCAGCTGAACTTTAAATTTAATCTTAATTAAATTTGTCTAAATTTAAAAGCTATGAATCAATATTTTTTTAAAAAAAGTATTTTTTATTTTATGTGTATGCGTGTATTGCCTGCATGTAGGTAAGTGCACCCATGTTGTATAATGCATGCAGAGGACAGAAGAGGTTGTCAGGATCCCTTGGAACTAGAGTTACAGACAGTTGTTAGCTGCCATGTGGGTGCTGGGATTTGAACCTGGGTCTTCTGCAAGTATAGCCATCTCTCCAGTCC